TTATGTTCAAGTAAATTAAAAAAGAAATGTATTTTTTAAACTCCTCAGTTTTTTAAAAAGATTTATTTATTTGAGAAAGAGAGAGAGAGAGAGAGAGCGAACATGAGTGGGAGGAGCGAGGGGAGAGGGAATCCTGGGTCGACTCTGGGTTGAGCGCAGAGCCTGACATGGGACTCGATCCCACAACCCTGAGATCATGACCTAGGCCAAAACCAAGAGTCAGACGTTTAACCAACTGCACCACCCAGGCACCCTTAAACTCCCCAGTGTTCATCTCAAATTGGTAAATATCAATAACTATAACCCACATAAACAACTCAGGGGTCCTCAGTTTTTGTTATTTTTTTTTGAGACTTTATTTTTTAGAGTGGTTTTAGACTCACAGCAAAATTGAGCAGAAAGTACAGAGATTTCCCACAGACCCCTCGCCCCGACACATGCATAGCCTCTCCCACCGTCAACGTCCCCCAACAGAGAGATACATTTGTCACAGCTGATGAGCCTACATTGGGTAGGGGAGGAAAACCAATTTCGCCTCTACTCTTCTGAGTTCTTAGCCGAGACCTCTGTGATCACAGACAGATTAGCAAGAGAAAGACAACCAGAAGTTTAACAACACATATAACTCGTGTATTCGTGGGAGATACCCACAGAAAAACGAGTAGCTCTCTCAGGTGGCTTGGAATTCAGGCTTGAATACCATCCTAAGAGGGAAAGGGGAGGGGAAGTAAGCCTCTTAGGGGACAGCAAATAATTTTTAGGAGAGATAAATTGGCCCTTAGAAGACTGGGGGGAGGTGTGATCGTTTATGACTGAGTTTGTCTGAGTATCACCTTCTAGTTTCTTCTCCTGTGATGAGCTGCTCTTTCCTGGTTGATGAGACTCCTGGAGAGGTGGTTTATAATAATTGGATTCCCTTTGCAGGATCTGTCTTTAGGCAGATAAGATGTTGTTTTAGGACAAATGCATGATGACATGTCTCTACTGCTACAGTATTGTACTGAGTATTTTCACTGCCCCTAAATCCTCTCTGCAGCTCATATTCATCTCCCACTACTCCATCCTAACTCCTGGCAACCACCCATCATTTTACTGCCTCCATTATTTTGCCTTTTCTAGAATGTTCTATAGTTGGAAGTGTACATTATAAAGGCTCTTCAGATTGGCTTCTTTCACTAAGTAATATACACTTGAGATTCCTCCACATCTTTTCACAGCTTGATAGCTCATTTCTTAGTAGCGCTGAGGAATATTCAGTTGTCTGGATATACCAACGTATCCATTCACCTACTGTTGGACATCTCATTTACTTCTAAGTTTTGGCAGTTATGAATAAGCTCCTGTAAACATCCGTGTGCAGCGTCTTATGGGGACATTGGTTTCCATGTCCCGTGGGTAAATACCAAGGAGGGATTCCTGGATGGTAAGACACGTTTTGTAAGGAACTGCCAGGCTGTGGGGTGCCTGGGTGGCTCAGTGGGTTAAGCCTCTGCCTTCCGCTCAGGTCATGGTCTCAGGGTCCTGGGATTGAGCCCCGCATCGGGCTCTCTGCTCGGCAGGGAGCCTGCTTCCCCCTCTCTGCCTGCCTCTCTGCCTACTTGTGATCTCTCTCTCTCTCTCTCTCTGTCAAATAAATAAATAAAATATTAAAAAAGAAAGAAAGAAAGAAACTGCCAGGCTGTCTTCCCAAGTGTTGCATTCCCACCCGCTGTGAGTGAGGTTCCTGTCCCTCCACATCCTCACCAATATTTGGAATCATCAGTGGTGGGGATTGGACCATCCTAGTAGGTGAATAAAACAACATTTGATGTGGATCACCTTTTCATATGCTGATGTGCCACCTGCCTATCTTCTCTGGTGAGGTATATTTTGGATAACAGTCCTTTATCAGATGCGTCTTGAAAATATTTTCCCCCAGTCTGTGCCTTGTCTTCCCATTCTCTTGACAGTGTCTTAGGCAGAGCAGAAATTTTTAATTTTAATGAAGTCCACTTTACAAATTCTTTCTTTCATGGTTTGTGCCTTTGATATTGTCTCTAAAAAGTCATTGCCGTACCCCAGGTCATCTAGATGTTCTCCCGTGTTGTCTTCTGGGAGTTTAATAACTTTGCATTTTACATTTAGGTCTGTGATTCATTTTGAGTTAGTTTTTGTGAAAGGTGGAAAGTCTACGTCTAGATTCATCTTTTTTTTTTTTTTTTTTTTTTGGCATGTGGATGTCCAGTTGTTCTGGTACCATTTCTGAAAAAAACTCTTTGTCCATTGTATTGCCTTTGGTTCTTTGTCAGAGGTCAGTCGTCTATATTTATGTGGGTCTATTTTTGGGTTCTCTCTTGTGTTCCATTTATCTATCTGTCTCTTCTTCCACCACTACTACACTCTCTTGATTATTACTGCTTCGTAGGAAGTCTTGAAGTAGGGCTGTGTCAATCCTCCAATTTTGTTCTCCTCCTTTAGTATTGTGTTGGCTGTTCTGGGTCTTTGGGTCCTCGGTTTCAAGAGTCTAAAGGGTGGGAGGGAGGGTCCTGAGACCAAAAAGTTTGAGAACGGCTGTTGTAGAGAAAGAGGGGCACACAGATGAGTGTATTGAATTCCTCTGTTAGGAAAGAGGATAGAATGCAGTGGGCAGGAAGCAGACCGAGTCTTGTCTGCCTTACTGCCCTGTTCTAGGAGCTGAGCCAGACTGTTGTGTTAGAGCACATCTCTGAGCGTCCAAATTTAGATCCTGTGTGACAGAGACAAGAGCCTGGTCTCAGAGAGAATCCTAGAGGGGTGTGGGACATGAATTGTTGTCTTCCCTTGGGACCAGAGAACGCCGGGCAGATGAGGGAGGTTTGGAATTGGTGTTTTCGTTTCTCTGGAGAAAGGGGAGTCTGGGGCATTAGGGTTGCGCACCTGAATCAAGTCCTGGGCCTCTTCATCTTCACAGTTAAGACTTGTTAACTCTCAAGAGTAAAGCAGGTTAAAAGGGGAACAATCACGTCTTGGTTCTCTACCCCCCTTGAAGTTCTGCAGGAAACATGCAGAGAGGAAAAGGTGGGGCTTTGGTCTCAAACCCCAGGATTTAAAAAAAAAAAAAAATCCCCTCTTCTGTGGGTCTTCTCCAGAGAGAAAGCTTTATTGGCTGATCTAAGAGGCCAGTTGCTTTCTCTGCTCCAGTCTTGCGGCCACAGCCCAGACTCAGACCACTCGGGCACTGGGCGGGGCTGGCAGCTGACTGGAGCCAGGCCCGGTGCTGGGTGGCGCCCATTCCCACCTGCACTGTCCGGACGCGCAGCTGCTCTCAGGCCTAGCTGACCTCATGAGCTGCAGGAGATTCTTGAGGGATCCCCAGAGCAAGCCAAAGCAAGCAAGCCTGAAGGCCAGGCCTTCCTGTTCCCTAACCACATGGAAGGATGTCACTCCCAGGGACCACCCTCGATGGCCTCCTAGCCTTTAGCCACATGCCGGACTCTGTGAAAGCTCCTGGCCACTCCTGGCCCCGCGCCCAAAGTAACAGCATTCCTACTGGGAAGCCAGGCCTGTGGTTAACTGGGGAAACCGGTGGGTTCAGAGGGTCTGCAGAGGTCCAGAGATCAGGTGTCCGTGCTGTTTTATGGGGAGAAGGTCCAGACTTTTCATCAGATTTCAAAGACGGGGAAAGTCCTTCCTTATAAAAAGTTAAAGGGTCACCACATTAGTGGGCAACACTAATTAGAGCTGTCCTATTGCAGATTTGTCAGAGTCCATTTGGTCACATGAATTCCACAAACAGTTGATTCGTTCTCCATACCCAGCTTGGGGCTGAGGGCTGGAGACACGACCCTGAGTAACACCAGGGGTGTTCTCTGTGTCATTGAAGAGCACAGATATAAATCAGATACTCACACAAATGCATGTCTAATTTAAGATCAAATGTTCCTCTGAATTTTAGAACCAGGTTCTATGATAGATACAACAGTGGATGTTTAGTTTCTGTTTTTGTGTATTTGTTTATTTTTGAATAGGTACTATATTCATGTTCAAAAATTAACCGCCCCACCACCACCCACCTGCCGTCATCCCTTAGCCACTCCCTGGAGGCCACACATGCTTCCTAGACATGAGTGGGTGTTCTGCTGCTCAACGAGGGTGGAGGAAGGGGAGTGGAGAAGAGAAAGCTTACCTGAGGTTATGACACTTGCAGTCTGAATCATGAATGTGAAGCGAAGAAGACTGGAAGGGGACAGGGGAAGGATTCTAGGTAGAGCCAATAGCTTATGCAAAGGCCCTGTGGCCGCAGATAGCTTGATGTATTAGAAGAATGAAAAGAAAGCCTGTATGGCTCAAGTGCAGAAAGCAAGGGTAGGAGACGTCCAGGATGCTGCTGGGTGGAGAGGATGCAGTCTTATAGCTCTCTTAGCATTGTGGACTTTCCCCTAAGAGCCTGGGAAGCCACTGAACAATGAGAGGAGGTAACCTTCAATCACAGTTGCATTTTGCATTTTGCAGATGTTGCCCTGGCTATAGTATGGAGAATGGATGGGAGGGGAAAGCAATTAATGGGCTTGTTTAGTTCACGTGAGAAATGATGTGGCTTGGCGGTGGCGATATATATTGCAAGAAACGTACTGGTATACAAGGTTCTTCCAAAAAATACTAGCAAAATCTTTGTTTCCATTCTCTCAACTGAGTGGAAGAAAATCCCATAACAAGAGTCTGTTAGAATGTAGTTAACACCTGGCTATATTTGGTCCAAGCGTGTGGCCAGACTGACAGGATAATTTAGCATCCTGTAAGAGGCTGATGGGCAAAGGTCTGAAGTCTTGTAAAATCTCGTTAGAAGTCTGGTCCAGCCTCCTGCCTGAGCACCCCAAAGACATCTCCCCTGTGTGGGAGCCCCCCAGTGGCCGGAGGTTGTTACTGTTTGTTACGAAGTCAACAGAATGCCCATGGGGGTGATGTGCCCTAAATAGGAAACAGTTGTTTTGATCTCCACACACTCAGTTTTCCTCCTCTTCTCCTGCCCCCCTCCCCTGCAGAATGGCTTATTCTGAGGAGCAAGGAGGTGTCCCCTGTGGTTTCATCCGCCAAAATTCTGGCAACTCCATTTCCTTGGACTTTGAGCCCAACACAGAGTACTGGTTTGTGGAGCAATTAGAAGAACGCTACAAATGTGCCTTCTGCCACTCCGTGCTGCATAACCCCCACCAGACAGGCTGTGGGCACCGCTTCTGTCAACACTGTATCCTGTCCCTGAGGTGAGTGTGTGTGGGGCTGCCGCTCTGGGCTCAAGCAGTCGGGTGGGGGAGGGGTGTTCCTGGGACCCCAGTGTCCAGCGCAGCCACTGGACTGGAATGGTAGCTTTGGGAATTGCTGTGGTTGACCACAGAACCATGAACACAACGAGGGGCTCTCCCTGAGTCCTTCTCTGAAAGCCTGAGGAATCATGTTTTGGTTTTCAGTTTTTGGGTTTTTTTTTTTGTTTTGTTTTGTTTTGCCATTCACTTATTAATAGTCACCTTTCCCCCCTTTTTTAAAAAGGAAATCAAGTGTAATGAACATACAGGGTTCTGTTAGTTTCAGGTGTACAACATAATGACTCAAGAATTCTGTACATGACTTGGGGCTCCTGACAGTCACCTTTTCTTAAAATGTAGACCATACCTGTTTTGCATGGAAGGGCAGACCTGGAGGCACAGTCTGTGTTGGGAAGGGCCTGCATTTCACAGGCATCTTCCTGGTGGTGGCTCTGACTTTTTCCTTGTCTAAGGGAAGAGGTGGTGTCCCATCCAGAAAGTGTGCCTCAGTGGACACACTGTCTGCTTCAGTGCAGCTGTAAAACCTGGGTCCTGCCATTCTGAAGGAGGAGACCAAGAGAGTTGTGGAAGCAGGCTCTGGGGGCTTATTTAGGGCTGTAAGTAAGCTGTCTTCTGCCAGGCTTGGAAAGGGGATTATCACAGCCCATTCTTGTCCCCTCATGGGGTTGTCCATTCAGCACTTGTGTGTTCCAGGCTCCTTACTAAACTAAGCTCTAGGGCACAGAGAGAAAGAGCTGGAGGTCCAGGGTGACCAGGACCCCGTTTCTGCCCCTAGAGTGCTCCTGTCTAGTGAAGGAGACAGGTTGTGGTACAGGGTGAGAAGCACTGGCAGAGGACATTGAACTCTGTCTGGGGGACTTACTATTTGACCTGTATTGTGGGGAATGAATGGGAATTTTTCAGCAGATTGGGGAGGTGCTGAAGATACAATGGACAGATGGGAGAGAGATACAGCCCTTCCTGAGGCAGGGAGCAGAATGGTGGGAAGATGAGGCCTGGCCTGCTCAGGGGTTGCTCAAAGGGGTCAAGCATGGCTGAACTGCTGGGGCTGCTCTTGGAAGAGCTGTTGAGGTCAACTCTTAATTTGGCTCTATTTTTATTTTTCTCTCCAGAGAATTAAATGCAGTCCCACTCTGTCCTGTAGATAAGGAGGTTATCAGATCTCAGGAGGTAAGAAAATCCCTGCTTTGGTTTAGCAGTTGGCTGGATGATGGAGAAGCCAGTGTCCTGGGTTGAACTGGACATAGAGGTTGGAGCAGTAGAGGGGGAGAGAGAAGGGCCCTTTCTTAGAGTCCACGTTCCTCTGCTGTGTGGTCAGGTTAAGCCCCACTCCTGCCACTGTTTCAGAGCTTTATTGCCCCCCCAACCCAAATTCTCCTCTGCCTCCTTACCCCCTTCCTACACCAGCTCCAGGTGTACTGAGTTGCTTGGAGAAATGAAACATCCATCCTGTTTCTTGGAATTCACTTTCTTCTCTGGTCAATCTCTAAAACTTCCTTCCATTATTATTATCTCTGACAATAACTTTATTAGGATATAATTCATATGCCATAAAATTTACCTTTAAAGTGTACATGTTTCTTGGGTATACACCCAGGGGTGGAATTACTGGATCATGTGGTGGTTCTGTTTACGGTCGAATGGTCACTCTATGTATAACATTCTGAGGAACTGTCAGACTGTTTTTACAGCAGCTGCACCATTTTACATTCCATCCAGTAGGTTGTGAGAGTTTTAACATCTCTAGATCCTTGCCAAAAGTTGTTACTGTCCATCTTTTTGATTATAGTCTTTCTAGGGGATACCTAGAAATACCTATTTCTCTGATGATTAATGATATGGAGCATCTTTTCAGGTGTTTGTCCATTTGTATATCTTCTGGTAGAAATGCTTATTCAATTTCTTTGCCCATTTTTTAAAAGATTTTATTTATTTATTTGACAGACAGAGATCACAAGTAGGCAGAGAGGCAGGCAGAGAGAGAGGAAGGAAAGCAGGCCCCCTGCTGAGCAGAGAGCCCAATGTGGGGCTCGATCCCAGGACCCTGAGATCAGAACCTGGGCTGAAGGCAGAGGCTTAACCCACTGAGCCACCCAGGTGCCCCATCTTTGCCCATTTTTAAGTGGATTATTGGTCTCTTATTGATGAGTTCTAAGCGTTCTTTATATATAGATACAAGGCTCTTAACAGATACATGATTTGCAAATATTTTTCTCCCATTCTGTGGTTCATCTTTTCACTCTCTTGTTGGTGTCCTTTGAAGCATGAAAGCTTTTCACTTTGATGAGGTCTTACTTGTCTTTTGTTTGTTTTGGTTGCTTGTTATTTTAGTGTTGCATCTAAGGAACTGTTTCCTAACCTGAAGATTTTCCCCCTTAAAACTTCCCTTTTTTAGGGGTGGAGGGGCAGAGGGAGAGAGGGAGGATCTTAAGCAGGTGCCAGGCTCAGTGCAGAGCCCCACCCAGGACTCAGTCTCAACAACCCTGAGATCATGACCTGAGCTGAAATCAAGAGTTGGATGCTTAACCCACTGAGCCACCCAAGTGCCCCTCCCTTAAAACTTCCATTTAAGCTCAATTTGCTTCCTTTACAATTCTGTTGGAAGACGTTCAAGCATCACCCCCTCCAGAAAGCTCCCTGAACACCTGATCTATTGTACATGCTCTTTCTCTATGTTCTTTTTTTTTTTTTTTTTTTGATTATTTATTTATTTGTCAGAGAGAGAGAAAGAGAAAACACAATCAGGAGGACTGGTAGAGGGAGAAGCAGGCTCCCTGCTGAGCAGGGAACCTGATGGGGGACTCCATCCCAGGACCCTGGGATCATGACCTGAGATGAAGGCAGACATGTAACTGACTGAGCCACCCAGGCATCCCTCCTTCTCTATGCTCTTATGTTGTATTTTGCAAATACCTAGCAGAGGACAGTGCTGTGTTTGTGTGTGCCTCACCCGCTAGATCAGGGGTTGGCATGGTTGGCGTATTACAACATGAGATCTGTTGGGACAAATCCAACCTGCCACCTGTTTTCATATGGCCTGTGAGCCAAGAATGGTTTCTCTATAAATCATTGAAAAAAATCCAAAGAAGGGTACACAGGAATTCTGCACTATGTTTGCAACTTCTCTTAAGCCTTTGAGCTATTTCAAAACAAAAAACTTATTTTAAAAATCAAGAGAAGAGTAATGGCTTGTGACACATGAAAATTACATGAAATTTACATTTCAGTGTCCATTAATAATGGCTTATTTGAGGGGCGCCTGGGTGGCTCAGTGGGTTAACCCTCTGCTTTTGGCTCAGGTCATGGTCTCAGGGTCCTCAGATCGAGCCCCGCATTGGGCTCTCTGCTCAGCAGGGAACCTGTTTCCCCTTCTCTCTCTGTCTGCCTCTCTGCCTACTTGTGATCTCTGTCTGTCAAATAAATAAATAAAATCTTAAAAAAAAAAAATAATGGCTTATTGGAACACAGCCATGGATATCCATTTCAATATTGTCTACAGTTGAGCTGAATAGTTGCAAAAGAAAAGATTGCATCGTGGCCTGCAAAGCTGAAAATACTTACTATCTGACCCTTTACGGAGAACGTTAGAACGTTTGCTAACTCCTGGTGTGCACTGGAATAGCAAAGTCAGCACAGCCTCAGTGACACTACCTGATGACTAATACAGACTTTTACACTATGACAGGAAGCTGCTGAAAGCGTCACCCTCCTCCACAGCCCACCTTCTGACCTTTGAGCATACAAGGTCAAGTGCACCATGAGATTCTCCTGCAGCCTACTGCACGGAGCGTTGAATTTCCTGACTTGTGTGTTTAGTGGCCTGTTGGAAATATGTATCTGAGAAAGCCTCTTCTTTGATGGTGCCGAATCTGATATTTCCATTCCAACCATTGTCTGGAAGTTTCTACCTGACTGTTGAGATGTATTTGAAGACTGAATTAATAATAGTTTCATTCACATTGCTCTGAAATTTTGGAGTGTATGAGACCTATTATGTTTCCTTCTTAGGTGTTCAAAGACAATTGCTGTAAAAGGGAAGTCCTCAATTTATATGTGTACTGCAAAAATGCTCCTGGATGTAATGCCAAGATTATTCTGGGACGCTACCAGGTCGGTATTACTCAGGACCAATAAATTTGCCTTTGTCATTTTTTCCAGTGGTATGTGTTGAACACCTTTATGTGACAGCTCCTGGGCTAAGCATGGTATGGGATCCATTGGGTTGCTCTCAGAGAATTCCTGTCTAGCAATACATTTAGCTGCGGTACAGCCCAACAAGGGCTAAGGTGCGAGGGAAGAGGTCCATTTCATTTGGAATGCATGGAGGGCACACTGTCCGCGCTAGACCTAAATTGTGGGTTAGGGGGTCATTGATCCAAAGACAAGATGTGGGACATGCAGGGCCAAAGGACATGTCATTTGTGGGGAACTGTGAAAATTTGGGGTCCTCAGGTGGGAGCCACAGCAGTCTGCAGAAAGACATGACTGCCAGGGTCCCTGCTGGAAAGTACTGGCAGGTGGTGGGTGGGTGGTTCCCAACAGCTATGGGCCGTGGCCTGAGAGTTTATGATCTGAGGCATGTAACGCAGACCAGATCAGAGCTAGCATGTGGTTTAAAGGTGAAGCGTTGGTATGAGCTGCAAACACACGAGGCGTGGGGGGAGCAAGGGGGTGTTAAACTTTCACACGAAGCTGCCCTACCTGGTTCTTCCATCCAGCTGGGGAAGTGGGAAGCTTGGTAAATGCCATACTGGAAATGGGGCAACAGGGGTCTGCCATGGCAGGCCCATATCAGGTTTGATCACACTGTGCAGGAAGAAGAACCAGGCATCTCTAGCTTCCAGAGAATGGCTTGGAGGCAGCTGAAATTTTCCTCTCCCACCCACACATTTTTGGAACACATTTCAGGTGATTCAGCCTTTTCTCCACCTTGCCTCCAAACCCTCTAGGCACTGAGCTTCTAAATGTGTAGATACTTTCCCCGTTAACCCCAGGATTTTTCTGGAAGTTCGCCAAACTTTCTAGAACTTTCTCATGTTTTGATAGCCAAGCCCTAGAGCAGGACCTCTTTTCCAACTTTGTGGTCACGAAGCCTGAGCAGGAAGTGAGGCTCAAATGGACCATCCAGCCATCAGCTTTTGTGGCCCGATCATCCGCTTCCAGAAAACAGTGGCTGGTTTCTTTTTACCTGTTTTCTCCTGTGTTTCCGCTTGGTCCTGCCCCCAGCCTGCACCCCTGCTTGCACGGTGAGGTGTAGGTTCTCCCGGCAGCAGAATCGTGATGAGTGTTGACTGTGTCAGCAAGGGTGGGAGGGTGGCAGCAGCGAATTTCGGAGAAGATAGGGATTTCAGTAGTCCCTCTTTGTTTCTTATTACTAGAGGCAAAGGAGAGTAGCTCTAATATTTATTTCCCTCCTGCAGAAAAACTGGTTGCTTTTTCTCGCCTTCAGGAAAGGAGTCCGCAAACTCTTCTGTCAAGAGCCAGTTAGTAAAATGTTTAGACTTTGCGGGCTGTACAGTCTCTGTATCCACCACTCAACTCAGCTCTTCCCTTTCAGGAGGAAAGCAGTCCCCCCCACCCCGACTCCTCACAGTATGTAAACAAGTAGATGGGTGGCTGTTCTCCAGAGAAACCTTATTTACAAAAACAAGTAACAGGCCAGCTGTGTTTTAGGGGATCTCACAGGGGTCGGACTCACTAGGGATTTGATGACTTGTTAGCATCACAATAACTTGCAAAGGTCCAAAGGTTTTATTAAAGTATACCTCTTGCTTTTAAAAGTCTGTACCAGGAGAATATTAGAATGAGCAGTGTCCGTATCATTGTCTCATACTCTGGTGAAACCTATTTTCTGAACACAGCCTGATTCATTCCCAGCTTCTCTTGGGCCTATGATCCTGTATGTCTTCTGTCTGCTTTTCTTGGCCCTTCTAGAACATCTGCCCTTCCTCTCTGTCGTCCTTTCCCTTCCTTTCTGCACTTAGGACACGCCGTGCTCTTCTTCCCTCTTCCCCCTTCGTCCTGGCGTTTGCCATCTGCTATACAGAGATTAGTATTTGGTGCCGGCGGTGCAGAAAAAAACTAAGAATGTCCTTGCAGAACGGGTAGATCACTCAGCAAGCCTAAGGAAAATACTCGGGAATTAATCTGAGAATCTGAGCTAATGGATAGTCTAAACTAGACTCCCCACGCTTCCTTCTCCAGCCATCTTCCCTGTCCTCCCAACTCCTGTCGCACAAGGCTGGCATGGCCTCCGTCTGTCCAGCTGGCCCCAGCGTCCTCCCTCCCTCTCCAGGCGTCCAGCTGGCTCCCCGTCCCGCTGCCCCCGTCAGTGGGGCCCACTGGCCTGTCTTTTCTGTTGCAGGACCACCTCCAGCAGTGCCTGTTTCAAGCTGTGCAGTGTTCTAATGAGAACTGTCAGGAACAAGTCCTTCGGAAAGATCTGAAAGAACATTTGAGCGCACGTTGCCATTTTCGAGAGGAAAAGTGCCTTTATTGCAAAAAAGATGTGGTAGTAATCAGTCTGCAGGTAAAAAAGAAAGAAAGAAAGAAAGAAAGACGAATCATCTTTATGGGACTAAATTCTACCTGAGCGGTCACAGTGAATCAGGACATTACTGAGTTTATTTTTGTACAGAAATAGATCTAAAGAATTATCTGAGAGTTCTGTAAAAAACAAAACACCTTCTTGTTGGTAGGACCCTACTCCTTTATCATTGGCAGAAGCATTGTTTGAGCACCTACTGAGTATAAGTGTGCAAGGAGCAATGCTGGGTACTGGGTCACAAGGAGGTGACGATACTGTGTCCTCAGGCCACTATGATCTGACTGGAGTGGCAGGATGTAGGCAGAGGAAGAAGGCATGAGGTACCTTTTATATGTACCACAGGAGCCATACTGATGACTCTCATAGTTTGCCCTCCGGAAGGCCTGTGCCCTCTGACCTTCTTTTGGAATAATTGGAAAACTGAATTGAATTCCCGGGAAGGAAGCAGCCATCTTTAGTCCTTTCTGGAACTAGGCTGTACCTTCCTGGGGAGGGTAAGCCACATAACATACATTCCCAGAGACATAAGCATAAACACTCTGAGGCCATAGAAAGGAACCCTGGAAGCAAGGACTGCTCTGTTTTATCACCCTTTCTCTGTTTCAGTATCATGAGGAAAACCTGTGTCCCGAGTACCCAGTATCTTGTCCCAACAAGTGTTTGCAGATTATTCCAAGAACTGAGGTAACTGTAAATGATTCTCTTAGTAGATTTAATGTAAGATAACATTTTAGTAACCGCTGTGGTGTGTGTTTGATCACCTCCCACAGGCTGAGACCCAAGGTTTAGAGAACACCCACAATAACCACGTCTCTGTGTCCCCTTCCCTTTTTCCGGAAAGGTGTCCTCCGTTTTTACTGTAGCTCTCCCTCCACCAGGCCTCAGCGTGGCTTTCCCCGTTCTGTTCCCTCCCTCCTTCCCAAGCCACCCTGGGGCTCTCTCAGGCACCCGAAGAACTGGTGATGAATTTTGGTGGCACGAGGCTGTCCCTTTCGTAGGTGGATGAGCACCTCGCTGTGTGTCCTGAAGCTGAGCAAGACTGTCCCTTCAAGCACTACGGCTGTACTGTGAAGGTACGGGATGCCTTTTTGTTTCCGCCTCTACATTCTACTGTGGAATTCGTTGGGCAGGTGTATTTTACTGTTTGATCCCCTTCAGGATGCAGAAGATATTCACTATGGAGGAACTTTAAGACTGGCCGTGTTACTAGTGAGGGTTCTCCAGAGAAGCTGAATCTGTAGGAGATAACGTATCTACATGTAGACACATACATAGAAATTTATTTTAGGAAATTAGGTTATGCGATTGAGGGCGCGATTGAGGGCACTGGGGAATCGGATTATTTGCAAGGCAGACCAGCAGGCTGGAGTTTCTATGTGATAGTTTTTTTTTGTTTTTTTTTAAGATTTTGTTTATTTATTTGACAGAGATCACAAGTAGGCAGAGAGGCAGGCAGAGAGAGAGGAGGAAGCAGGCTCCCCACTGAGCAGAGAGAGTTTGATGCGGGGCTCGATTCCAGGACCCTGGGATCATGACCCGAGCCAAAGGCAGAGGCTTTAACCCACTGAGCCACCCAGGCGCCCCTCTATGTGATAGTCTTGAGAAGTGCTGTTTCTTCAGGAAACCTTATTCTTGGCGCTCAAGGCCTTCAGCTGGTTGAATGAGTCCCTACGGCACTGTGGGGAGAAATCTGCTTTATTTAGAGTCAGCTGATCGTAAATGTTTATCACATCTGCAAAATACCTCACGGCAACATCTAGATTAGTTTTGACCAAACAACTGGGCACCATGGCCCAGCCAAGCTGACACATAAAATTAACCATCCGGGTAATTTTTCTAATTCGGACTCCGCGGTCTCCACCAGATTTTGAAACTTTCTGGAGTCATTCTTCTGATGATTATAAATCTTGGTTTTCTGGTACTCCTGGTCTATCACCAAGTATTTTGAAACAGAAGCGATTTGAAATCATGTTTTAAAGTGTATTTTATTGCCTTAAAAACTATTAAAAATATTTGTCAATAAATTGTATAAAATAAATGAAAAAGAAAAGAAAGTTTGATTCCTACCTCCCTTTAATACATTCCAGATGGATCAGAGTTTTAGACATTAAGAGATAAAATGCACTGTATTATTTCATACTTTGTGTGCATCTAAAATTACTCCAAATAAAAAGTTTTTTTTAAAAAAAAATCAGAAAAATACTAGAAGTAAAGGTAGCAAATTTTTTTTATTCTTAAAATAAAGGTCTTTCTTAGATGACTGACACAAAACCAGAACTATAATTTTGATGCTTAACCACAAATACTTGAAACTTTAATGTGATTTCTGAAAAATACCATAAGTAAAGTCAAATGGCAAACCACAAACTAGAGGTAAATATCTCCAACATCTGACAAAAGACAAAAAGGGCATTTTCCTTATATACCAACATTCTTACATGTAAATAGCTTATCTAACTTAATAGAAAAATAGGCAAAGGAATATATGAATAGTTCCAGAAAAAATTCAACTGATTAATAGATGTAAAAGAAGACACCCCATCTCACTCCTAAATAAGTATATATTATAACAAAAAATATAACTTTCACCATCAAATTGACAAAGATTAATACAATTTATAATATCCAACTCTTTTTGAGGGCAGTTTGACTACATATCTATGAAAAGTGAGGGGTGTATGGCTGGCTCAGTCGGTGGAGCATATGACTCTTGATCTCAGGGTCATGAGTTCAAGCCCCATGTTGGGCATACAGATTACTAAAAAAAAAAAAAAAAAAAATAAAAAAAAAAAATTTTTTTTTATAAAAAAAAAGAAAAGTGAATCCACACATTGACTTTATAATTCTATTGCTAGGAATTTTCACAGATACTCTAAGTACACAATGATTGCACATATACAAACACCCTCACACAGAGAAATTTTTATAGCAAAAAAACTGCCAAAAACTAAAAACCTATAAGCCCACCACTGAAGTGCTGACTATATAATTCTATATATTTATATTTTGGAATGCCATGCATCTGAGAAAAAGAATAAGATACGTATTTTTAAAAACTGAATATGCTTCTGATCTCATTGAGTTAAAAGTGTATACGTGTCGTCGCTGACTCTGGTGAATGAAAGACTAGGGAATTGGGGGTGGTGTTGGGGAGAAGGAGACTTTTGCTTCTCATTCTATATCTTGGTTTACTGTTTGACATAAGCGTACATTTATTTTAAAAACCTATATGAAAAAAATGTATTTGTGAGAAGCCTTTTAAAGAAATCAGTGAAGAGTCCGTACCTTTTCACATATCAAACCTGCGATTATCTTGGCTGCAAAAAGGATAGGGTTTACCTTTTTAGTGCACAATTTACAGAATTGCTTTCCAACTCTAGAGAGATCTTCTTGACAGTTAGTTCTAAACTCCTAGTTGGGCTGTCCTCTAGAACTCACCTCAGTACCAAAGCTGAGGATGAGATTTGTTCTCTGGACGAGGGGCCAATCCTTAACTGAAGAGAAATTGATGGTAAATGTATGCATAGGTCCACGGAATCACCCGGAACACCTAACATTTGCTTTTACTAGTAATATAGGCAGTTTGCAACTCAGTATTTTAATGATTAGGGAAGAAGTCACCCTTTATTCTAGCAAACATATCCTTGGATTTTTGAGGGCAACACGTTTGTGCGGGCTGGAATTGCCATCAGGTTGCGTACCTTTGGCCTTTGGTAGAAGGCAGCATGGAAATGCGTGCTCTGTACGAGACAGAACTCACTTGGGCTTGACGCTGATCTGAAGCTAACCACCCAAGGAGATCAGTTTTATGGGGGACTCGTTGAGAGATGATAACCATATGCAGTCCTAGATTCCCAGCGCACAGAAGGAGATCTGCTTTGAGAATTTTGACTGTGGCCCAATTCTCTGTTTCTGTAAGTTTAAAATTGTCTCATAGACACCTTAGAATCCTAGAGCTGGAAAAGGGACCAGGAGGGGCTATTTTTTCCTGCATCCCACCTTTAGACAAGTAAGCAGAGTTGTCACATTTCTGTTAGTGGAATATTCCTCCACTACCTTGATTTTGGAGTCTTTCAGCAACCTGACTTCCTTTCCTCTTCTTTCTGAAGGATAAACGGGGGGTCCTGCAGGAGCACGAGCATTCAGCCTTACGGGACCACATGCTTCTGGTTTTAGAAAAGAACTTCCAGTTAGAAGAACAGGTAATTATTCAAGGGTTCGCATGGAAAGGGAGGCAGGGCAATTGTTGGGATTGGTAACTGTTGGTATTTTTATATTCTCCTAGGTTTCAGTACAAGTCAACTGGAGGTAGATGTTTTTCTACTAAGTGGCCAGGCAGACTCATAGGAGTATAGAACACTAGAACTGGAAGGTTCCCTTTGAGATCTTTGGGTCCAACCCTCTCATTCAACAGATGAAGTGACTAAGCTCAAAGAAATGTTGATGTGTTTGTAACTTGTAAGTGTTTGTAACAAGTTTGTAACTTGTAAGTAACTTGCAGCATTGAATCACAAACCCATGTCCCCTGATTCTCAGTCCAGTGCTCCACACAAAATACCGTATTTGCTCTCTGCAGCCTAACCGCATGCCTTGTGGTTAATGTTTGGCACCTGGTAGGTGACGAGTAGGTTTTTGATGTTTTGGAATTAGACCAGCGTTACTCTGAAACAACAGTTGACGATCTGTTCTAGGCATTATGGGTTATATATATTTTGCTGTAAGTCTTAACTCCTGCCTCAGAGAAGCTGGGCAGCCCGATGGTGCACACAGAGCTCTTTACTCACGGAGTTGGGATTATCAAGTGAAATTGTGTGTGCACGTGCCTGCCACAGTCGCTGGAATATTCATAATGGACCTCAGTAAATGCTGATTTGGTTGAGTAATTATTATAAAAGTTAATTGTTTTGTTAGAACATCTCAGAGGATCAGACTTCTCAAGCCCGTGTCAGGAAGAGAGGGAGCTGAATTCTACTCTTGCCAATCATTTTCTGATGTCTGGCTCCGTATTAAAGGAGGTGTGTGAGTTTCAAGGTCAGATCTTGGAAAAAATTGGGAAGACCAGTTAAACTGTGACTTTGGTACAGGGCACACTGCCTGGTAACCATTCCCAATTTTTTCTGTACCATTCACCCCACGCATCCATCATCATTCATTCGTTCAACAGACACCTGCCGTATGTCAGGCATGAGGTTAGTTGCTAGAGATTCTGACTGGAGGAGGACACAGCTTCTGGCCTTGAAGAACTCACGACAGTGCAAATAGATAAGATGCTGTGCCCTAGGACACGCTGTGCCTCAGTCTGGGATACGGAGGCTGCAGCACTTTCCTCTGTGGGAGTTGGGGAAGGCTCTTCAAGGGAGGACATCGGAGTTTCACTTTGAAGGAAGAGAAGATTTGTCAGCCTAAATGTTGTGGAAAGAGGGCATTTCAGAAGAGGAAAGACAGGGAGGCATGAGGCTGATGGTTCAAGGAACAGGGGTTTTGGGGTGGCGAGGCTCCTGAGTGTACTGGGGGAGAGCTGGAGACTGGTATGCTGGGTCCACATTGCAGTGGCCTTCTGTGTGAGCTAACAAGTTGCAGATACTATTGTTATTTTTTTAAAGATTTTATTTTTTTATTTGACAAATAGAGATCACAAGTAAGCAGAGAGGCAGTCAGAGAGAGAGAGAGAGAGAGAGGGAGAGAGAGAGAGAGGAGGAAGCAGGCTCCCCGCTGAGCAGAGAGCTGGATGTGGGGCTCGATTCCAGGACCCTGGGATCATGACCTGAGCCGAAGGCAGAGGCTTAACCCACTGAGCCCAGGCGTCCCCATTCGATTGTTTTTTTATTCATTCATATTCTGCCTTGTTTCAAAGGGATTTAAGGGCCAAATGTTTGTCAATAAGAGGAAGCTAATAATGGAGGTTTAAAATGGGAAAATGCAGATTTCCCCCACTATGGAAAAGCAGAGCCATCCTATGAAACCGTTCATAAGCCGAAGGGGTGTAAAGCAAAGAAGCAATTACAATTTCTTAAAAGTGGAAATCCTTTTTGACTTTCGGTTAGTGAGAGCAGATGCTAACATTCATCTTTCATAAAAGCAAAGTGGCATTGTGTGAACTTTTGGGTAGCTGGGGTAGATAAGGACCAGTACATAGCCACCTAATTATTTTTTTGGCTTTAAAAAGTAAGCTAGCTGTGGGGCATCTGGTTGGCTCAGTGTGTTAAGCATCTGCCTTTGGCTCAGGACATGATCTCTGGGTCCTAGGATCGAGCCCCACATTGGGCTCCCCACTCAGTGGGGCGTCTGCTTCTTCCTCTCCCTCTGCCTCTCCCCCTACTCATGCTCTCTTGCTCTCTCCCCAATAAATAAATAAATAAATAAATAAATAAAATCTCAAAGCAAAAAAAAAAAAAAAAAAAAAGCAAGACAGCTGGTCATAACATAGAAGATGGATAGAGGGAGAGAAGAGCGTGAGGACAGGGGGACCGGGCCGCGGGACGTTGTACTAACCTAGACAGTGCAGCGGGGGAGCCTGGCAGTGGATGGGTGGGGACTCCAGAGCCAGGACACCTGCTTTCAAGACCAGGCTCCTTACTTGCCGTATGGGTTTGGACCAGCTGCTTAACCTCTCTCTTGCCTTTCTCCTCATTCATAAAACGGGGTTGCGGTGAAGGTTAAGTGAGCCAATATATTTAGACTCAGTTCAGTGCCATTATCATAAGCAGCTCAATATTAGGCGAAGGCAAGCTCCTGCAGCTGGCGGTGCTGGGGATAGTCAGCCAGGGCGGCGTCTGTGGGGATGCAGAGGGCACGGGGAGAGGTCAGAATGGCAAGCTGTAAGTCTAGAAGGCGGAGGACATGGTAGTTATTACCTGAAACGGGCACTACCGGAACAGGAGGAAGAGCAGAGGAGAGGAGAGGGTGGGGAGAGGAGACACCGAGGTTTGCTTTCCATCGGGGGGATGGGTCTGCTGTGGAGGCGGAAGTCAGCTCTCAGGGTTGAACTGGAAGATTCCGGGGCCAGAGATCACACGGTCGTTGCAGCCATTTGTGTATTCTTTTATAAAACGTGTATCAAATGCCGTCTGGGTGCCAGGCGCTGTGCTAGACTTTGGGGATGAAGAATTGAGTGAGATGTAGCCTCAACAATGTAGTGGAGGAAAAAGAATGTAACAACCCCAGAAAGCAATAAGGGTAATGAGGGTAAGTTACATGCTAGAGTGTGGCCAGGGGGTCTTGGAATTTGAGAGAGGACCTAGCTTGGTGGTACTGGTGAGGAAGTATTTCTGAGAGAAAGTGCCCTTGAGCGGAGACTGAAAAATTGGTGGTTTCTAGATGGAGAAAGAAGCATCTGAGGAAGCAGGACCCAATGGACAGTGGACGTGTGTAGTCTTGCTGGGCAGGGCACATGTGGGACGTGGTTGGGCAGGAGGCTGAGAAGGTAGCCAGGGTCAGATCATGTAGGGTGTGTAACTATCCTCATAGTTAAGGAAGAGGGGGCGGTGACAAGACCAGATTCGTCCCTTCATATTACTCTGGTTGCGGCATGGAGGATGAATTTGAGGAAAACAAGACTAAAGAAAGGGAGAGAATCGTTCATTCATAGAATCACTCAACAAATATGTCTCAAACACCTGCTGATGCCAGGCACCAGACCAGTTCCTAGGGTTACAGTGAACCGTGGGACCCGTGTCCCAGTTCCCATAGAGGTTCCCTTCTGGAAGGACCATGAGGGGTGGTGTAGGACCAGTTGGGAATCTGTGGTCACAGCCCAGGTGAGAAATAATGAAAGCTAAAACAGGCGTTGAAATAAGTTGAAACAAGAAGTGGATATAAGAGTCGTGTTCGTTTTGTTGCGTGTCGGAAGTTGAAGTTGGTACGTATGGATGACTGAATGGATTAGGGTATATGAGAAGAGCCGTCTCGGCTCACACTAAGGCTTTGGTTATTTCCCTCCAATACGTTACAGATTCTAAGAGCATAACATGAATTGCCTACCACTTGCTAAGCTAGCTGTATGCTGTACAGTTTACTTAAACTCCCTGCCCTTTCCTTGTCTGTAAAATGGGACTGATAGTCATACCTCACTCATGGGGTTCTTTGAGTATTAAAAGAGCTAATGAATATAAGGGTAGGACAGACACTCAGCACATTTCAGCTGTTAACTACTGATACTGTGCAGAGAGCATCTGTTGTGGGGTGGTGATTGGTACTCTGTGGTTGTTACAAGTGCGCGCTGAGTGAATGAAGAGAACCAATTCTGAAAATTTAGTCAAGTGATGTCACTGTCGTTACGAACCATCAGAACGGGTTAAGTATAGAAAAGGCTGACAAGAAATCTGTGCGTCTGTTGTTTTTTTTTTTTTGAAGTGCCCGAAGATATTATATAGGAGACTACTGACAAATATTTCCCTAAAAATGTATATATATGTATATATTTTTCTAGAAACACTTTCTTACTTGCAATATTTTCCTAGACATATATTTACATTATTTTAATTTGTATCCGTGCATTTAAATGATCTCATTCACATTCCTGTTACTAGATTTCTGATTTATATAAGAGCCTAGAGCAGAAAGAAAGTAAAATCCAGCAGCTAGCAGAAACTGTAAAGAAATTCGAAAAGGAGTTCAAGCAGTTTGCACAGCTGTTTGGCAAAAATGGAAGCTTCCTCTCAAACATCCAGGTGAGAAACGACCTCTCTACTCATAGCCAAGATTTAGCCTTCAACTGGCAGTCCAAGTTTTTCTTACAACTTCTTAAATGGAGATAATTTCAAATGTAAAGAAAATCTACAAGGATAAGCTAGTGCTTAAAAATGACTGTGTTCGGGGCTCCTGGGTGGCTCAGTGGGTTAAGCCTCTGCCTTCGGCTCAGGTCATGATCTCAGGGTCCTGGGATCGAGCCCTGCATTGGGCTCTCTGCTCAGCAGTGAGCCTGCTTCCCCCTCTCTCTGCCTGCCTCTCTGCCTACTTGTGATCTCTCTCTCTCTCTCTGTCAGGAAGATAAATAAAATCTAAAAAAAAAAGAAAGACTGTGTTCTCAGATTCGCTCATTGTCAGCATTTTGTCCCATATCTCTGTCCGTCTCTCTGTTGCTCTATGTGTTCTTTCTGAACCATTTGAAAGTAAACTGTATATGTCAGGGCCCTTTATCCCTACAAACTTCAGTCTGTGTTTCGTAAGAATAAAGATCTTCTTTCACATAACCCCAACATTTAACAGTGTCCGTACATGTAACATTGATATAATACTTTTATATAATTTATGGCAGTTGGGGTTGTAATTAATATTGGACCAATATTAGTTCTTTGATGGCAAATTCTTTGAGAGATTCTATAGTTCTGCATTTTGCAGTCAACAAAGTGAAACTATTTATTCCCTTGGGAAGAAGATGTCTTAGGCAACACTAAAATATAGGAAAAATGATTTTGCAAATCGTGAATGTTAAAGAACCGTAAACACATTTCTGATGAGTAATGTCTCTGTTGTAATTACAAAATTTATAGTGAAAAAGATTTGAAGACATGGGTATGGGTTGTATTTTTGAAATGTGGACTCTCCCAGAAAAATGCAGCCCATGTGTTTTCTATACTTGGTCTGTGTGTGTGTGTGTGTGTGTGTGTGTGTGTGTGTGTGTGTGTGCGCGTGTGTAGAAAAAAAAAAGGAAATCCCCGCCCACCCCCCAAAAAATAAAAAAAGGAAATCCTTCCTATGGTATTATCTCAATTCTGACCTTTTTCTAACCCAGAAACTCTTCAGAGTTAAGGAACTGAGGGGCAAGGGTGCAGGGGTAATACAAGTCTAGTTTTGTTCAATCTCTTCCATCCATGGAGAACAATCACAAGTTCAAGCCCTCCCTCAGGGCACTTCCTACCCCCTCTAGTGCTCAGGCCCAAACGGGTGGGTCTCCTTCCAGCTCATTCTCTGCCTTCTAGCAGAGTGGGAAGGGATCAGGAGAGTAGCCTCTGAGAAGGAAGTTGTAAGGCAAGGGGAGAGACAATAGAACAGAGATACAAACATAGGTTAGAGAACCAAATGGCAAGAAATTGAGGGAGGAGTAAAAGTCAGATGAAGAGAAGTTCAGCGATTTGGAACAGGAGCTGGGACCGGGTCGGGGAGGAAGATATTAAGTGGTTCATCTCTCTGTGATCCTCCCTGAACTTTCCTCTTCTGGACTGTGCCTTTTTCGTTTCATTAATGGATTAATTAAATTTGAAATGTTTGAGTTGAAAACATTTAATCTCAGTGAATTAATTACTAAGATAGTAACAAAAAAAATTTTTTTTTGACATTATGATCCGTGTTGTACTGAAAGGCTCTCTCCAGTCACATTGACAAGTCTGCTTGGCTAGAAGCTCAAGTGCGCCAGCTGCTGCAGACGGCCAACCAGCAACAAAGTAAATTTGATCTGAGGGCTTTGGTGGAAGCGATTGATACGGTGAAACAGAAAATCACTCTGCTAGAAACCAATGATCAAAGACTAGGTATGTGTCATGTTTTACTTCTCTTTGGATGATTCTGTGGTCTGCATTTAGCCAGATGGAGAGTCCCAGCTGTCCAGGATAAACAATGGCTGAATCTGGTACTTGTGAAATAGAACAGCATGAGACTCTAGCCACTCCGGGGTCGGGGGGTGGGGGGTAGTGATGGAGGGCGATGAGGGGGGGCTGGAACAGGCAGGGGGTGGAAATGGGCCAGGAAATTCCAGAAACAGGGAGTGGTGGTTTTTTTTTTTTTTTTTTAAAGATTTTATTTATTTATTTGACAGAGAAATCACAAGTAGGCAGAGAGGAGGCAGGCAGAGAGAGGGGAGAAGCAGGCTCCCTGCTGAGCAGAGAGCCCGATGTGGGGCTCGATCCCAGGACCCCGAGATCATGACCTGAGCCGAAGGCAGAGGCTTAACCCATTGAGCCACCCAGGCGCCTGGGAGTGGTGGTTTTTTAGGAGAGTGGGAAATGATGAGAAAGCTAAGAGAGAGATGTGGCGGAAACTTTAAGTATAGAAAAATATAAAAGGGTTTGGCTCTTTAAAAGCCTCCCAGTGATTAAATAATGAGGCTCACCTTGCTAATGCACGCTAGTTCAATGCGGGGCATCTCCTCTACACTTTGGTGAGCTTCTGTTCAAGAGTATGAATTTCTCTACTCTTGCAAGACATGAGATTCATTGAGCTAATTATTAATACAAAGGGTCCATTGGTGGACAATGAATTCGACTCATCTTTAGGATGTCAGAATTTTATTGGTTCTCTTCAGATACCAGAATTCCACTTTGGGCAAATTCTAAAGACAGCTTTGAGGCCTGTGGTTTCTTTTTTTTTTTTTCCCCCTTTGCAGTTGTTCTGGAAGGGGAGACTAGCAAACACGATGCCCACATTAATATCCACAAAGCCCAACTGAATAAAAATGAAGAGCGATTTAAGCTGCTAGAAGGGGCCTGCTATAATGGCAAGCTCATCTGGAAGGTGACAGACTATAAGATGAAGAAGAGGGAGGCGCTGGACGGGCACACGGTGTCCATCTTCAGCCAGCCCTTCTACACCAGCCGGTGTGGCTACCGGCTCTGCGCTAGAGCGTACCTGAACGGGGACGGCTCCGGGAAGGGCACACACCTGTCGCTGTACTTCGTGGTGATGCGAGGGGAGTTTGACTCCCTGTTGCAGTGGCCGTTCAGGCAGAGGGTGACCCTGATGCTTTTGGACCAGAGCGGCAAAAAGAACCACATTATGGAGACCTTCAAGGCCGACCCCAGCAGCAGTAGCTTTAAAAGACCTGACGGGGAAATGAACATTGCGTCTGGCTGTCCCCGCTTCGTGGCGCACTCCACTTTGGAGAATACCAAGAACACCTACATCAAAGACGACACCATGTTCCTGAAAGTAGCTGTGGATTTAACTGACCTGGAGGACCTCTAGTCCCTGTGTGGGGTGATGAAGGGCGTGCCGGGCCAGAACCACGGTGGAGGATACCTGTGATTATCATATGGATGGACCAGAGCTCAGTACACATTTGTAGGGGCTTGTCACCCCTGATGTTTGAAGTCAGTTTAAAAACTTCTCAAGCGCTATCTGCTTTTTACATTTTACTCTGTCCCATTTTGAAACTTAAAACACTTAGACTATCCTCATTATTTATATTTTTATCTCTCTTAAAAGATGTCAAGTTTCTTGAAAGCAAGGTCTGGGGCCTCTCTCTTTTACTGGTGCTTGGCATGGTGTCTCAGAGCAGGCACTGTGTGGAATGTTACCGAGGACACAGAGGAAGAATTGAAAATGCCCCAGCATTTTATTATTTGGCCTGCTGATTCTAGACCTGACCATAAGCCTGCAAAAGCCATCTTTCAGGATAGGCTGTCCCCATTACACAGTTGGGTGGTGTGCTTTCAAAGACAGTAGGCCTGGTTTGGACCAGATTTTATTTGGTCCAGTACTAAATTTGTGGAAATCACTATGCCTCTAAACATTTTCATTAAAAAATTACCAGTAGTCAGCAAGTACAGTTTTGCAAGGCTGCATTAGAACTGGTGAATAGAGAGATTTTCATTCTTCCTGTTGATTGTGTAGTGTGCGTGTGTGTGTGTGTGTGTGTGTGTGTGTGTGTGTGTAGAGATAGAGTACATACATATATAAATGGAGATATAACCATCCAACTAAAGGTCATATTTTATTAGGTTCAACCATGTGAAAAAAACTATTTTCATACATCAGAAAAGGTCAAGTATTAACAGTTTCATGAGGTTCAGTTCAGGAAATATATATGTACCTGTATATGTATACACCTAGTTTAAAGGTATTTTGTAATAATAGTAAGTTAATGTGAGGATGGGCAGCATTTAGCAAATGACAGAGAAAATGTCGTAAATGAATAAGGGAAATTTAAAACCTAGGGAGAACACCATGATTATGCCGATGGTGTCAAAAGTATTCTCATCCCAAACTGCGAAAAGCAGTATCTCCTATTCTTTTTGAGAGAACTTTTGAATTCACAAATTGGTATAAAAATGGGCATTTATATAAACTTGTGTGACTTTTCTTGTCAAAGTTGTGAGTACTTTGTGAAAACAGAGATGATTATATTCTTAGGCATCTGTCTGTGTGGGTCTCTCTACAAGGATGTATATATAAGTCAAAATGAGTCCTTCTGTCTGTTGTTAACCGTAAGCTGATCAAAAAAGTACCCAGTTTTCCTGAGCCACGTCATTGTTACGCAACCCAGTGTTCACTCACACTCAAGCTGGCTCCCTTGAGTGCGTGAGGGCAAAGTGCCATGGGCTGAGAGCCCCTTAATGCAGCTCCCTCAGGTGTTGACCACGCACCTTACACCTTCTGAACAGTTGAATCTGATAGAAGAAACGTGATTTTTATACCAGTAGCTTCTGGAATAATTGGAACTTTCTTAATCTCTTCTGCGAAATTTTTTAAGATGCTAAAGACTCGTCATTGCAGAAATCATGCCAAAGGCTTAAATTCAAAGATGTTTGTTCACAACGGAAGCATACTAAAGAACCACACTGTAGCCTTTGAACTCGGGTACTACTGATGGTCGAACTCGGGTACTACTGATGGTCAACGGACTGACCTCACCCAAGCACCGCTCACAAAGCCTGACCCACTGGTTCTGCGTGTTTGTTTTCAGTGTTTTTAATCCGGTCCAACTCCTTGGGACTAGAAGGTCATATTGTTATCACTAGTTTGAAGTAGTTGGTATGGAAAACATTTTAAAGTGAATTTAGCACTTTGGTTTTATGTTCTAACCAGCTTCTCCATATAAATAGCTTAAGTCATGGCATGGTTTGCTTACAAGCTCAGAGTCCCTTCATCATCGGAGCAGTGATCATGGAGCAAGGTATTCCAGAAGAAAAAGCACCCCTTTCTCAAAAATAAGAGTCATGATTTTTGTTTTAAAGAAGTGGATCCATGTAAACTCTTTTCCTCTTTTATGATCGGAGCAGTTATTTTTACTCTGTATCAGAAATATTTAAAGATTTTATTTTTTAAGTAATCTCTACACCTAACGTGGGGCTCAAACTCACAGCCCCAAGATCAAGAGTCGCGTGCTCTACAACTAAGCCAGCCAGTCACCCCTCTATCAGAAACACTTAAATTTTTATCTCTTTCTTTGTCTGATTTAAATTCATAATGAGGAGAAATATACTAGGCATAAAAGGGAAGTGAAGAAGCTGGAGAAAGGTATGTACAGGATTAAAGTAGAGTGGAGAGGTGGGGGACATATCAATGCATATGAACAGAACTGCGTTCTGACCCCTGATGTCCAAGTTTGATTTTTCAGGGAAACAAGAGATAGTCCCAGGCAGTGTCCATTCACAGTGCCAGTCTCGAATGCGGAGAAACAGAACGGAGAGCCACACCCTCTTTGCGTGGTCCTTTGGGCAATCAGTCCAACTACCACTTTTCTCTTCGAAAGTGGTCGGAGACATGGGTCTTTGCCCTATGTAAGAATTCTGGACTGGAGATAAAGCTCTGATGGACACACAGTAGGGCCCGAGGTGGCGAAATCACCTGAAAACCCCACATTTTAGGGAAGGAGGAGCCGGCAAAGCATTTGGAGAAGGAATGGTCAGAGGGAAGAGCAGTGCTAAGAGAGGTGGGAAGGCGGAAGAATGTCGGCAGGACCAGATGCCCCTCTTGACGACAGTGCACCCCGCAGCCAACTCTGAAACTCACGGTCCCCGCCGTGCTGCTCCCCACCTCAAGAGCGTTTCTACCTCTAGCCTTTGCCTTAAGCTGCAGCCTCAAATATCCAATTTGCACATCTAATCTTTGAAGTCCCAAAGGTACTTTATCTTTTTTTTTTTTTTTAAGATTGTATATATTTACTTCACAAGCAAGAGAGCGCAAGTAGGGTGAGGGGCAGAGGGAAGCAGGCTCCCTGCTGATCACCTGGGATCATGACCTGAGCCAAAGGCAGGCAGACACTTAACCGACTGAGCCACCCAGACGCCCTCCGAAAGCTACTTTCAAGTCCACTTCAGAACTGGAGGTCTTCCGGCTCTCCCCACCACTGCCAACCCATGACTCCTCCCCTTAATTCCACCCCAGCTAATGACCTCATCCTCCAAGCCAGAAGTCTGGACACTATTCCAGATTCCTCTCTCCCTTTCTACATCCAGTCACCCACCCAGTACTACAAATCTGACCTCCAAGTAATTTCTTTAAACTTACCCCTATGACCTATCCCTACTGTCTACTACTTCTCAACTACTGCCTTGTTTGAAGGCCTACATTTTTTGCCTCACAACTATTTTATTTTTTTCTTTTGTCACTGTCACATCTAACCTCACACGGTCACCCAGTAATCTCTAAAATGAAAATCTGAGAGAGACTCCTCACTCTACCTGCTGTGGCTGCATCACCCACAGGAGAAAGCCAGGCTTCCTTGGCATGGCATACAAGGCCCCCCATGCCTGCCTCGGCCCCTCTGGTCGCCTTCTGCCAGGCCCCCTTCCTCACCTTTAGCAATAGCACGCAAGCTGACTGGGATTTCTCCGTGCTGGTGCTGCACTTCTCCCTGGAACTCTTCTCTAACCTTACCTTTTTCTTTGCACGGTGACTTCTTTCTGTTTATGATTCGGCTGTGGCCTCGTCTTCTCCAGGATACCTTCCCAAACTCCTCTCTCAACACACCCCTGGAACGTCCCTGAGCCGACCCTTCACTAAGTCAACAGCCCCTGCTTTGTGTTGTGTACTACCTTCTCTGTTCTTCAGTTGGTGGACTTTTTTTTTTTTTTTTTTCCCAGAAAACAGATGTTAATTGGCTATGTGTTTGTCAGGTTTTTGCGTTAGGCACAAATAGAACAGATAGTGTCCCTGTCTTCGTAAAATTTATAATCTGGATTTCAGACACACACAGTGAACCAAAATGCTTAATGTGTCTATGTTCTCAGCCTCCTGGGTCTCTCAACTTCTTCCCCCTCTTTCCTGAGAAAGGTGGATCTCTCAGACCCATTTTGAATGTCTTTGATGCAAGAGAACAGGCAGAAAGCATGTACAAATAAACACTAAACCCATGCACAGGAGGATTTGGGGGCAATGAACAAAGAGAAGGGAATGCAAACCTATGAGAACGGTTGAAAATTGTGACTGGATCCCCTTCGATAATTTTTTTTCTTCCAAGAGACCCATGTTAAGAACTGAAATACATTTTAAAATTATTTTTGGCTGCTTGACACTTATTTGAATGAAACTCCACATGGAGACCAGACTCTGGCGCCAGCATTTATAAGGCATTTGAACCAACAGACAATAGAAGCTGTGGTAAATGCCTTGAAGAAGATAGCGGAGCACAGTGAAAGAATATGGGGCCGGGTTGGGGAGAGTATGTGTACACTGAGGGCTGTCAGGGAAGGCCTTTGGCTGAGGTAACATGATATTTAGCGTTCATATGACAGGTTCTTGGAATGTCCAGCACTTTTGAACATCCCTCTAATACCTGAAGGGTTTCCTGTGAGAAGACTTGCTCCCGGACCCCTTTTGCAACCCAAGCAGAGCTGACCTAGGCATGGTCACACAGAACTTCAACTTGAAAGATGAAGTCAGAAAGATTCAACTTTATTGTTGCAAGAAAGATTTGCAAGGCGAAGAAGGAAATGTGCCAAAAAAACTCTGCCTACCCGGTGGTGAGAGTGGCGAACGTCCCAGAGGGAGAGCCCTGAGTTTCGAGGCCTGTGTTTGTGGAAGTTGTGTTGGTGTCAAGTGCTGGTGGGAGCAGTGGACTGTCACTACAGCCACTCGTATGTCTGGCTGCTGGTCTTCTTGGGGACTCTGTGGGCTGCGCAATATTGATCAAGACCCGCTCTCAGCAGGAGTGGATTCTGTTGTAACTAAGAACCTGACTGAGTCAAGCTGAGACCGGAAAGATGAGTCCGCCATGATGAGTCAGTGTAGGTGGGATGAAAATTCGGGGCAGAGGGCACCGAGGAATGAGAGGGTTGGTTTAAGGAACCAAGAGGAAGCCTGTGTGGTAGTCTCCAGAAGAGGGGACAGTGGCACTTGATGAGATCAGAAGAGGAGGCAGGACCCAGAGTGTAGTGTTAAAGTCAATGGAGACTGTGGTTTATGTAAAGTGTAACAGAAGTGGAAATAATTTTGGCAGGGGAATACATGGTCTGATTAATGTGTTCTGAAACTGCTCTGTGTGGGACATAGATTAGAAGGGCACAGGAGAGGACATGGGAACAGTATTAAGGTTATGTCATACTCCACTGTGTCTGGGTCCTTACTAAATCATGAACTCCTTGAAGCCAAAAACCATGGTAATTCAAGTGCATAGAAGGTGCTCATTTTATTAAACTGAATAATATATATACAATAATGTGTTATCTTTATAACAAATCTGCTAGGCAGGTAGTATGCCATTTCATAGATGAAAAAAACTAGTGATTAGAGAGATCTACGTGCTGCGTGCTAGGCAGTGTCCTAAGAATTTTACATACTAGTTGTATATTAACACACTAATCTGCACAATAATCTTATCAGGTATACGCTATTTTATTCCTGTT